ATCCAGACTGCGAATTCGCGGATCTAAGGGCCGAACACGATTGTGCGGGCTGCCCATGCAGCAATTGCGGCAATCACTGAGGAAATCGTCGACCCTCGACTGCTTGCGATATCACCTTGTAGCTTCGCAACTGATCCTTGGCCACACGTTGAATGATCTCAATGCGCGCCATTTGCCGTCCCGTCCCGTCGACCTGCTTGCCTCTTCCCGGCTAGCCCCCTTCTCAGCATCCACCTCCCTCCTCTCACCAACCACCATCATCTTTCCTAGTCCCGGCTCCACTCTCGATCGACACTCCTGAATCCACAGAAAACCCATCTCTTTCCTAATTCTATAATGCGATCGAAACATCATCGAGGTGACCGTTTCAATGCCGCGATCCACTACGAGTCCGACCTGAAGACAAGCGCACCTTATGACCGCTTATAGAGTTGTGTGGATGCCGAGCAATTTGCGATCGACTGGCAGCTCGGATCACTCCATTTGGAAGGCAGCTCTACCACCGCCAGCGAGGTCAGCGCTCGTTGCGCCCTTGCTGAGACGAGTCTGCGTTGCATCGATGGTTCCAGCAATAGGCACCGAGCATCAACGTTGATGCTTTCCGTGAGGCACAACCTCGGAAAGGACGGCTATAGCGACCTTTGCGCAGTCAGCTTGCAACGGTACGCCCGCGACGCAGCACGTCAACACACGCAGCCAATTTTTGGATCATTCGCGATTTGACTCACGAGCACAGGCTCTTCACTTTGCCTGCTGACTTGCGAGGCATAGACATGTGATACGCCGCATGAGGAGCAGCGTACGGTAGCGTTGCTTGTGCGGCATCGCCTCTCGGGCGACATGGGTGGCAAGCGGCGCAAAGTCCACGCCTATAAAGCGTAGCGACATTTTGCGACTTCAACCTCATTCTGAGCAACCCTTCAAAGTGGAAGCCGACGCGAAGTATCAGTGGCTACCAAGCAATCAAGGGACTTGTCCACCTCAACACGTGCGTCTATCGGTGAGCGTGACCAGCGCATCAGCACCAGTCCTTCATATGCTGACAACCATTATCATGTTCATGGTGACAGCTTCACAGCATTTTTCTCTTATCAGCCTTTCGCACCCGCAACCGTCATAGATCGCTCGTCAGGTCTTCGCATCATGTTTAAATCGAGACTTTCAATCTATGCTGGACTCGCGCTTTGTGTGCTTGCGGGTGCGCTTCAAGTCAGTGCCCTACCGCAAGCCGTGAATGCACGGGACCAAGTTGATCAAGGTGCGTTTGCCAGCAAATCCCGTCGCCATCTCCCCACTCAGTCGCTCACCTTCTCGATCTTGGTATTTCGTAGGCCACATTGCGGCACTCATCAAAGAAAGAGGGGACGATGGCTCAGACAATGGGAACGACACTAGTCTCGGAGGTTACTGTTCCGTGGGATGCGATTCTCCGCAGCTCAGGAGTCAGCTCGACTGTTCCGGCTGTGGTCATTGACGCCACTCTCCATGTCATGCGCCGCGCTCGCTCTGGTCGTTATCACAGCACGTAACGCTCCAATCACGCAGCCCAAAGCACGAGGTGGTCGATGGGCTCCGAGTAGAGGTTGCGGATGCATCTAGCTTGCTACCACACCTTGCCGTAGCTTTACAAGTCAGAACTAAATGTGAATTAAGTCAGGACGACTGCTGTGACTCGACCAAGCTGCGCCGCATGCCTTCCTTCGACCACGCTCACGTATCTGCGGCGGCCCTGCGCTTCAACGTACCTTGCCAGATTACGTGTGGAAGAAAAATTCCTCCGCATCCAAAGGAGCTTTTGCTGGTTCGTCTGGAATGGGATCTCTACTACAGGCATTTCTTCCACGGCTTCGCGACCCCAAGTTTAGGCGTGAGCAACAATTTGAGAAGGATGAAGTCAGACGGCGTAAGATTGCTCTTACTTGCCTCCTGGTCAGTCTGCTATGTTCTACGAAAGGTATCAATCTGACTACTCGTCTGTTGCGGCGCAGAGAGACGCCGTCACTTTCGTTTGCTCAGCCCATGACGGGCAGCTAGCCTCGCCTAACATCAACGTCAAAGAATGTTGGGCTCGATCCATTCCGCGCAACACTCCGTGAAGCCTCATTTGTGTTTGTCTACTCCCGACACCATGCATCCCCCAATTTTTGATGATACTACGCCGATGCGCGATTGAAGCGTCGAGTGCGCGGACAATTGTGGCAGGCTCTGTGAAGCACTGCTCAAGCTTGTCGCTCTGTGGCTTTGTGCAGACACAAGGAGGCTGAGCAGGGTACACGGGCGTAGGAGCACTTTCTCAAGACGCTCCATCAATCCCAACCCCAACCCCAAC